GCAGACCCGTTTTTGAGCCTTTGGGAACAGGCCGGCGCGCGTGAGAAGCACATTTTGAAACCGTGTTTTAAATTGGAGTCACTGAGATGAATAACCCATGAAGCGCCAATGGCTGCGCGCTTCGGCCACCGAAGCCCTTTCAGGCGGGAGGCAGGCGCACGTGTGTTTTTTTATTTATCGCATGTTTAGGAAATCCCTAGAGAAACTGTCTGTCCTTCCTGATGAAGGCTGAGTGGAGAGCACATTACAGACCTCGAAGACTAGGAAAAGGTAGTGATTTCCACGTTGGCTAATGCCGAAACGATGCTTCGAAGGGGCACCGGCAGACGGGTAACGCTTGCACCTCCGCGCTCCAGCGTCCCTGCGTGGAAGCCGGCTTCGCGCACCTCTGGGGAACAGCAGTAGCGCACACCTACCCTCCTTAAGCACCTACTTCAGGTGCCTCGTCGCGGCGCTCCTCGTTAGTATAGTGGTGAGTATCCCCGCCTGTCACGCGGGAGACCGGGGTTCGATTCCCCGACGGGGAGGCTGGTGTCATCCTTTTATACAGTTTTAGCCGAACAGCGGTGAGACGTTGAGAGGCGGCGGCTCTCCAGTAAACGCAGTGACGTAAACCTGCCTGTCCGAGCTCCTCTCCCGGGCCACGCTGCAAGAACCTAGCCCAGGAGCAGCACGGGGTCTGGAGGGTCTGGAGGTCTGGCTAGTTGTTGGCAGTTTTAAATCACCAGGGGAGAGTCCGCCTCGGTTCCTCTGGACTTTAATCGGATCCACGAGCCCCGACACCCTCTGCAGGGGGATAGGGTCCTGCCAAGGAGGAAAGCGCTTCGTGCAGGCCGGCCTCGCGTTGCTCCATCCTCCATCCTCGGAGGCCCCGCTTCCGGCCTTCCTTTTAATCACTTCAGTGTGTTAAGCTACACACGACTCCGTAATTAGGCTGACACATTTGTGTCTGAGCACTTGCGTCATTTCCAGTGGATTTTCCCCCCTATCTCCCCTAAGGGGTGCGTGCGTGCGTGCGTGCGTGTGTGTGTGTGTGTGAGATTGTACCTATTTTGAACGGTTGACTTGAGCATAAATGATTATATGGCACATAATACATGCTCATTTTGGGAGAAAAGAGAATCGTTTTCCTGTAGTACCTACTCCTCGCAGAAAAATAGTCAACAAACGAAAGCCACACCACCCCCATCACGCCCCTGTTCCCATTCTGCCGAATATTTCTCCGGCATATTCGTGCTCGCAGTGCTGGGAATAGAGCCCAGGGTCTCCCGCAGGCCAAATGCTCTGCGCTAAGCTGCATCTCCAGCTCCCTCGGGCTTTTTGGGGTGTGTGTGTGTGTGTGTGTGTGTGTGTGTGTGTGTGTGTGTGTGTGTCACGTTTTGAAAATAAAGTTGGGATAAAATTTGAGCATCTTGCTTGCTCTTTGACGAGGCTCTTTTTACAGCTGCCTCGGGTTTGCAGCGAAGCTGGGAGAGGGTAACCGAGATTCTTGTTTGCCCCGATGCTCCCACGCCTGTGGCCTCTCCGTCACACGTCATAAGCACCCCAAAGGCGTCGTTTCCGTAGCTCATTCGGTGTTGTACATCTCAGGAGTTTTCGCGTAAAACTTAGTGTCTGTTTACTGTATATATATATAAAAAAAAAACCCCAAAAACCCCAACACATGTCTTAGAGTATCACCTCTGATTAGGTTAAGGCTGAAGGAAAGAATCTAAGGTGGTGGTTAAGTTGTGGGGCGTTTCCTGCCGCGTTGGCTTTCTTTGTCAGTCTCTTTGTTGTTGTTTTCCTCTTTAAATGCTTTCTCTTCTTCTCTTCTGCTCCCCTTGGACGGCTCTCACAGGCACCATGGCAGGCAGGCAGGGCAGGGGCACTGGAGCCATGGCAGAGAGCTTACATCTAGATTCACAAGCACAACCAGGAGAAAGGCAGGCACTGGGCGTAGGCAGCCTTCTGGACCCTCAAAACCCACCCCGCGAGGACAGGCCTCCCCCAACCCAGCCGCCTCTTCACACGTCATTCAGACCCCCACACAGCGCAGAGACAGTGTCAGCGGGAAGGTCACGCGTGGCAGATTATACGGGTATAAAGGACTCAATAATAACGACAAATTGTATGTGTTTGCACGTTTGCACGCGTGGGTCATCCGGACCAGCCACGTTTCCGAGCAAAAGCAACCTTCCTCCCAAGCCCTCGGGATTTTCCGGAGAGCCTCGGCGGTGGCGTCCTTCCGAACCCCGCGCGCGGGGACGTGTCGTCCGTTCCCCTGTCAATCTCGGCCCCAGCGTTCGGCAGGCGGAGGCGACCGACGTGTCCTTCGGTAAAGCCTGACTTGACAGCGCCACCGAGCATCACCTGTCTCTGTGGCGCAATCGGTTAGCGCGTTCGGCTGTTAACCGAAAGGTTGGTGGTTCGAGCCCACCCAGGGACGGGGACGATCTTTTCTTTTTTTTTTTCCGTGCACCTCGCATTCCCGAAATTTGTCCTTCGAGTAACTCAAAGCTAACGTCAGCTACCCGCCAGGAGCCCAGCGTCTGACCTTCCTAACGCGGTGGTCTAGAAACACCTCAGCCCAAGTTTTTTTTTTGCTAGCAGTGTCTGGAAGCTAATCCGCTTTCGCAAACACGGTTGCTCGTTCACCGCTGAAATTGCATCAGAAAGCAGACACCCACCCTGTGGGGGTTTGGACGTTTGGTGCCTGGCTTCCTTCGCATTCCCTGACTTCTGACTCCTGGATCCCTCCCTGACTGCGGGCTCGTGGAGCGTCCGCGTTGGCTCAGGTGCCTCCGCCTTGCCCCTCTCACTTCCTCTTTGATCTCATCGCCATTAGCCCCCGGCTCCCGGAGCTGCCCCAGAATCTGTTCAGCGTGAGCTGGCGCCGTCCGACGCCGTCTCTTCAGCTGGGGTATCAGCGTCTCACACCGAGGGGCCCCAGCTCCCTCCCTTCTCCCTCACTGGCTCTGTGAGATCCAGCAGGCAGAACCACACCTCCTGACCTCGCCAGCTTAGGGGCGGCTGGATGGAGAAGGAGACTGAGTTGTTCGCCTCATCTTCTCAGCACCTGCGTTCACTGCTGGCACTTTGCAGGTGGGAAGGCGAGCACAGGGGGCATTTTACCACCCCGGGACCCCACCTCGGTCTTGGGTTGTGCACATACACACACTCTCTTCCTATAATGCAGCGGACACCCTGGTGCCCGCACCGCGGCACGCTTACCCCTCTCCAAGCAACGCTTGGAGTGATCCGAGAACCCTCCCGCCCCAACCTGCACTGCGCCATACATACTCCATCTCTGAATAATCACATAAGTCTCCCCAACCCTGGCAACAATCCAATTTAGATAGTTTCTATTACTGCAGTGTATTTCCATTGTACCCGGATGTGCAGAGCAGAAGAATTTGACCCAGCTTGAATTGGGTTGGGGTACATGCCAGCCTCCTTTAGCGACCTTTTAGGGAGACTCCCCTACTTACCAATCTTTTGCCTAGACACAATCGATAGTGCATATGACTAGAATCAGCTGTATTATGGGAAGGGACATAGGAACTGAAAAGCTGATTTTTATAGTCCCAATGTAATTCTTACTTGTAATTCGGACTACTACGACTTTGGTCAACAAACGTCTTCACCCTGCGGCCATTCCTTTCTGTGGACTGGTGGTGGACTCTTAGCACGTTTTCCCAAGTCAGATCCTAAGCCGGCTGCATTTAGCGTAGCACAGGTCCCCTGCTGCTTTCTTTTCAACTCCACCCCCCCCCCCCCCCCCCCCACCCACACTGGCCCAGAACTGACCAATGCCCTGGGCCAACGCATCAAGACGTTTCAATATGACATCCTATTCAGACCGTTTTCAGTTCTGACGGAGCCTCCCCCAAACAAGGCTCACGTCAAACAAGGCTCACTACTAGTACATTTAGCTGTGGCTTCCGGTCTAGGATGAGTCGTCTCTCCAGCTCCCTGCTCTGCTCTTCACAATTAAAAAAAAAAAAAAGAAAGAAAAGAAACGTTTTTAACTTGTAGCTGGAGAGATGGCTCAGCGGTTCAGAGCACTTCTTACAGAGGCCCTCGGTTCAGTTCCCAGCACCCATTAGTGGCGAACAACCATCCGTAACTCCAGTTCTAGGGGACAGGACACCCTCTTCTGACCTCTGACGACACCAGGCAGGCATGTATGTGCGGACTTACGTGAAGACAAAATGCTCATACACACAAAGTTAAATAAACCTGAAAGGTTATTTGACAGCTTCAGATATGCATCCGATAAATATATTTCGGTCATTCTCCAAAGGAGAAAATGCAGGCATGACCGGCAGCCAGCATGGCTGGCACGCCGTGCTTTTAAATAAGAGGCCTCACAGGCCATGCCTCAGACGCCAGAACACTGAGTCCTGAAGCAGCAGGAGTAGCTGGTAGCTGGCCTTCGGTGCACTCTCCAGGTCTTCCGCATAGAGACGGGAGCGGTATGAGCTCTCACTGTCCAACCTGAGGTCGTGTGCTAACCAATCACACTTGATTTGCCTTCCACTGTGTAAGAGGTTGCTCTGTGCAATGAAGCAGACGCTGATTTCTGAAACTGGTTCTGAAGGGGTCCGCCTCTGCACCCTTTAATGAACCGTGGCCATTGCTGTCTTGTCAGGAAACTCGCCTGCAATTTCAGCAGTTCTCACGTTTTCACCCTTTCCTGTTCCCATGGAGGCCCACCCTTCTGAACAAAGCCCCACTCCTACTTCCTTTCCCATCTTGCTTGTTTATTTCCCACTGAGTTTAATTAAGGCCATTTGCATGAGCCCAGGTGGTAGGTTAGGGCACTTTACCCAAGGCTACAAACTGATTTCCCTCCCTCCCTCAGAAACCACCAACTGCTCCTGGCTGCCATTCAGTTCAGCTGTAAGCCCTAGATCCCCAGGACTTCCCACACTCTGATAGAAGTCTCGGGGTTCCCTGAAGGCAATGAGGCCTGAAGAAACGCATGCAGAAAGCTGTCACATTAGCTCAGACAGCCATTCACTTTCCTACAGAAGTTTATTTAGGAACACTTTTGAGCATGGAAAACGTCACCACCCCGGTCCATGTTGCTGCTTTACTCTAAGGGAGTGTTTGAGACAGAGAAAGCGTAAAACTCTGAAGCATCGCTTCTTGTGAGGACAGCTTCATACTCACTGGTGCTTCACTGTTGGTCCTTGAAGATCACAAGCCTTTCCTTTCCCCTGAGACGGTCCATTGGAGACAGACAGACAGACAAACAAACAAAGCCAGAGTTGGGGGAGGGGCCTTTCTCTGTACCATTCGTGCTGCTCAAGGCATGATGCCCAATGCAGATGGGAAGGTTGCAAGTCCACAGAAAGGTTCTTAGGTGCTACATCATTGCTCTTATCACCCCATGAGATACGGGGTGACCTCACTTGTCCTGAAGTTCCTTGCTCCAGTGAACCTCGGGTTCCTCATAGTCTGCCACTGAACTTTGAAGACCCTTCCGCACAGAGAAATACAGCACGGTGTCTATTGCGAACAAGAGTCCTACCAGCAGGCAGAAAATAATCTGAGATGGAGAGACGGAGGGAGGTGTCCCATCTAGTAGGAGGAACAGAGAAATGAGAAAGACGATTGTCATCAAGTCATTGGATAAACAGTGAGGTCAACGCCACCAGACAGGGCTCCTGACACCTGCCTCGATTCAGGTGCGAGGGGATATGTGGGAGAACCTGGACCAGTTCTTTGCTCCCCCCACCTGGCTCTGGATCTTAGCGGAACCTAAGCGGAGCCCGGCAGGCAGGTCAGACATTTAGTTAACGGCTTCCGCTTGTTGGGTGGTGATGCGGCAGAGCGGGTCCGGCAAGGTAAGTTGTCTACCGGTGTCACATGACAGTTGTGACACTGTCATGTTACTGTTGGCTAGGAAGTGGACAAATTCACGCATTTTGGTTTCTCTCTCTCTCTCTCTCTGTTAAATTTGAAATACAGGGTCTCACTATGTAGCCCTGGCTGTTCTAGAACTCACTATGTAAACCAGACTGTCCTCAAGCACGGAGATCTGCCTGCCTCTGCCTCCTGACTGCTGCTGTTAAAGATGTGCCCCACCAAGCCTAGATAATACTTTTCTTATTTAACATTTTTTAATTTTGACTTTATGTGTATGGGCATTTTACCTGCATGTATGTCTGTGCCCCAGGTACATGCCTGGTGCTCATGGAGGCCCAAAAACAATGTCAGATTCCTTGGAACTGGAATTACAACTGTGAGCCACCATGTAGGTGCTGGGAATCAAACCCAGAACCTCTACTGAGCCATCTTGCCATCTTGCCTGGGTTTAATTTTTTTTTTTTAACTAAGAATTTTAAGCATGTGGTGTGTTTATGTGTGCATTTGTACATGTATGCATGGGTACATGTGAGTGTGTGTGTGTTTGTGTTCATGTACATGAAGATCAGAGGACAACCCTGAGTGTCATTCTCAGAAATGCTGTTCAGTTCCTTTCAGCAATGTTTTGGTTAGTTTTTACTGTCAATATGACGCAACCTAGGATCACCAGGGAAGACAGAACCTCAGTGAAGCAATTGCCTAAGCCGGAATATCTGTGAGAAGTTGTCCTGATAGATGTTGATGTGGAAAGGCCAGCCTACTGTGGGCAACACCATTCCTACGCAGGTAAGCCATACGAGGAAACTAGCTGAGCATGAACCAGAGAGCCAGGCAGTAAGCAGTGGCCTTCCACAGCTTCTGCCTCACTTCTGCTTGAGTTTCTGCCCTGACTTCCCTCAGTGATGGGCTACGACCTAGAAGTATGAGCTGAAATAAGCCCCTCTGTCCCCTAAGTTGTTTTTGTCATGGCATTTATCACAACAGAAAGTGAGCTAGGACAGACAGGGTCTGGAACTCACCACTTAGGCTAAACGGGCGTGTCCTAGGATCTGTTGTCCCTCCCTTCCCACCATTGGGATTGCTGGTGTGCCACCACCCCTAGCATGCTTTGTGGCTCTGGGGCTGTGACCCAGGCCCTCATGCTTGTTGGGCAAGTGCTTCAACATCTACTGAGCCAGCTCCCCAGCCCTAGCTGCATTTCTTTGCTCGCTTGAGACAGGGTCTTACTATGTGGCCTCTGCTAGCCTAAAACTCACTTATGCAAACCTGTCAGGCCTTCAGTTTACAGAGATCCACCTGCCTCTGCCTCAGAGTGCTGGGATTAAAGGCACGTGCTATCACACGTAGCCCAGCTTTAATTTTAATTTTCACTTTTAAAAAATAAATATTTATTTAATTTCTTATGTATGTATGTATGTTTGTGTGTGTGTGTGCGTGTGCGTGTGTGTGCATGTATGCCTGAAGGTATGTATGTGTACCACATTCACAGGACCCTGGCAGGTGAGAAGAGGCATCAGATCCCATGGAATAAGAATTGTGGATGGATGGTTGTGAGCCACCACTTGGGTGCTTGGAATTGAACTCAGGTCCTCTGCAAGAGCAGAGGTTTGAAACGGTGGTTTCAAAACGAGAATGGCCCCCTAAAGGCTCATGTATTTGAACGAGCCTAGTTGTTGTGCCTTAGTTGGTGGACTGTTTTGGGACAGTGTGGTCTTGCTGAAGGAGGTATATCACTGGGGTGGGCTTCCAGAGCCCAGGCTCTCCTTCTCTCTGCCTGCTTTGTGAAACATGGTTTGTGAAGAAGATGTAAGCTCTCAGCTCCTGCTCTAGTGCATGCGGCCATGATTCCTACCACAATGGCCACACTTAGAGTTTCACCCTCTGAAACTGTAAGCAACCCTCCAAGTACATTTCTTTTATACATTGCTTTGGTCACAGTGTCTCTTCTTAGCAATATAAAAGTAACAAAGGCACCGTTTGAGAGTACAATAGGTCCTCCATATCTGTGCCAGGTTAAGATTTTTAAAACTTGAAAAAGGCCAGCAAAAGCTCTTGATGCCAATCCTAACTGCATTAGTTGGTTCAATCCCCAGGACTCAAGTATTGGAAAGAGAGAACTGACTTCTAAAACTCGTCTTCTGTCCTCCACAAGCTCACTGTGGCTTGCGCACACAGACACACAAACATATGCATGCACACACACTAAATATAATAATATATAACAACAAAACCAATATAATAGTAATAATAATAATCATAAACCCTAGCATGCTGTGAACCGTTCTGAAGAACTCTCACCTCCTATCCTGATTATCAAGGACTCTGAAGATTTGTTGTTGTGGCCAATAAGCCCTCTGCAGAAGTAGGAGCCGCTGTCTTTGTGTGTGGCTTTTTGAATGTGCAATTCAGCATTGTTATGGAAATACTTCTTGCCTCTGCCGTTCTGCAAGTACGTGACCTTCTTCACAGGTCTGTTTTCCCAGCTGTGGCAGTTCAGCCGGAGCTGGTCCCCCTCCTGGAACTGCCACTTAGTGGTCTGAAGCACCAGCCAGCCTGAAAGACAGAGAGATCTCAGAGTGGGAAGCCAGGTTCTGAATCTGGATCTCTTCTACAGGGAAAGGTCACCACTCCATCCTAGATGCAATGGAAATCCAGACGGAGAATTGTCCTACACAGCTCCTCAGATCATACTATGACTTTCTGTCTAAAGGAGAAAAGGGACACACCAGGAAGACTTGTCCAAGAGAGATCAATTTCTATTATTTAATAAGGTAGATCATTTATCAGCCAAGACAGCAAACAAGAAGCTAAAGCAAGAAAACCAGGAGTTTTAAGTTTAGCCTAGACTCAATACATAGTGAGGTGCAGGCAACTCTGAACTACATGGAGCCTAATATTTAAAAAGTAAAATAAAACAAAAAGAAATGCCCCAAGCAAACAAAAGCTATAAACAAACAAGCTATATTGGCCATTAAAAATACCACCTATTTAGCCTCTTACTTTTTCAGCTAAGGAGTACATTGTGGTTAGCATAAGATTGTAATTGATATGGATATAGCTTGGCGTTTGGGGTGATATTCTTTTATTAAAATATTACGTTTATGTGTTTGTTTCTTACACAAGACAGGGTCTTGTGTAACCAAGGCTTTCTTGAGCTTGCTTCGAACAGCAAGGAGTCTTGTGTCGCTTGATCCTCCAGTTCTGCCTCCCAGGAGCTGGGGTCACAGGTATGCTCCGAGGCAAAGTCTAGGGGAATATTCTTGTTTTGTCTGTCTTGCTGCGAGCATAACTGATATATGGACATACATTCATTCAACAAACATGTGACAGACATTTTACACTGGGGACATTCAGAGTTCTAAGGCGTTATGATGCCTAACCTCACAGAACCTATAGCCTAGAACATAGAAACGTAAATACTCCGAAGCATTATACTGGGGTGTGGTTAATTTCTACAAGATATGTAATTGAACAGGGAGTGGGGATACTGCAGGCAGCTGAATAAGAAACTGGGGTTATTACATCCAGCCAAACATGAGGTAAGGTTATTGTTGCATATAGATGATCAAGGAGGCAGGTTTAGCTAATTCAGGTAGGAGCAGCCTCTGTAGGGGTCAGTCTCCAGGCCGTAAGCATCCAGGGGAGAGAGCCACGGTGGACATTTTCTGCACACACTGCCAACATCCACACTTGGACCCTCCCCCTAAGTCTCACGCCAAGAGAAGGCTTTGCCATGTTCCACAGGTCTGAGGCTTTGGAGTCCCTGACATGGCAGCGAGGGAGGTCTGTGCATCCTCATCCTCTACATGGGTGCTTCTCAGCCTTCCTGATACAGTTCCCCAGGTTGTGGCGACCCCAATCGAAAAATCACTTTGTTGCTACCTCATAACTGTAATTTTGCTGCTGTTTATTAGTCGCAATGTAAATAACTATCAGGCAGGCTATCTGATATGCACCCCCACAGGGGTCCCCGCCCCCACACAAGTTGAGAATCACTGCTCTACATTTATCATAGGATGGACATGTGTGTGTCAGCATCCTAGTATGACAAGCAGGTAAAAGGACGACTTTTTCGGGCAGAGATCTTTCCTCGTACCCTCGGAATCTCGTCACAGAAGCCTCACTATGTTCACACAGCTGTCTCCTTTGTACAGTGGGAGTGGGTGGGACGGGCCTGGAGGGAAGAAGGTGAAACAGAAGGAGCTCTACATCAGGGTCCCATTGAATTGGGCCTCTCAAGCTGGTTCTTGTGGCTTCTTTGTCTATCCACCTAGACTGCACAGTTCTCACTCTGCAGAGCTACAAGAAGGAATGTCAGTTTGCATGTTGGATGAAAAATGGCTATCTAAGAGTGTACCTTTGAGGGGAGATACTAAAAGGAAGCGGTAGAAATCAAGGAACAGGCCTTTAATCCCAGCACTCTTGAGGCAGAAACAGGAAGATCTCTGTGGGCGGGTTCAAGGCCAGATTGATCTACATAGTGAGTTCCAGAACAGCCAGAGCTACATAGTGAGGCCTTGTCTCAAAAACCAAAACCAAAACCAAAACCAAACAAACAAACAAACCCTCCCAAAACAAAAACAACAACAACAACAACAACAACAACAACAACAAAAGCTGAAAAGAAAACCCAACTCTAGTGTAGAATTTCCTTGACTTGGCTCTAGAAATGGGCTTTGGACAGTTAGTTAACAAGGACTGCAAGAGGCTGCGACCATGGGCAATTTATCCTGGTTCTCTTTTAGGACCCAGTTTCACTTTCACTCATGCTCTGTATTTTCTTTGGGTAGATTTTTTTTTTTTTTTCTGTGAACATTCTTAGCTTCCTGGCTGCTGTGAGCCCAGCCCATTGGATCTGAGCTTTTCTGTGTGTCCATCTGTGTTTATCCTTTCTTTGTTTCTTTGCTTCCCTGGTCAGGTCTGTCACTTACACTAGGTGTGTCACCCCTGGAAGGGTCCAAGCATACGTTAACTCGTAAGCTCCAGCATGGCATTGATGGGAAGATGGTCCAGACCACTAAGTGGTCCAGACCTGAAATTGAGGCCTGCTCTTTGGCCTTTTAGATGAGCTTGAGCGTGAAGTCTGGGAGTGAGGAGAAGACTTAGATCCTAAGAACAAATTCATCCGTCTAACTAATGAATGCTGTGGAGCTCGCCATTGACCTCAGACCTCAGAGCACCTATCTGTGTTGCGTGAATTCTGTGAAAATGCCAATTCCTGAAAGCGTTCCATGTCACCGTCCTGCACTCACTGCAAGAGTTTTGATGCTTGGCTTGGTTACAGCTAGAACTGTAGTTCTGCTCCCATCCCAAGCCATACCAGCTTTCCCCAAGTAATTCCCCAAGAAAGGGCCTCTCTTTCCCCTCAACTCACCTACATGGACTTCTAGCTTCACCGGGTCACTGAGCATGGAGCCGGATGTCTGACACTTGTACTCTCCACTGTCATTAGCTCTGGCATCTCTGATGAAATAGATGGCATTCCGGTGTGAGATGATGCTTTCATTATGGTACCACTTGGTAGAATTGTTCTCAGGTGAGTAGGTACCCTGGCACTTGAGGGTCACATGGTCTTTCTCGAGCACCCTGACCCATTCAGGGTCTAGGGTCACCACAGCCTTTTGGAGACCTGATGTGGAGTCAAGAGAATGTCGAGTGAGAACACAGATGAATGGGCATTTCAGGGCACTCCCAGGCTAACACTGGCAGAGCAAACAAACCCACAGTGCCCTAAGCCCATCTATGGCTCATTTTTAAGGTATCTAGGCAGCAAAGCACCTGGCCCCATTTTTTGACCTTTTCTATAGTTGGAGGAAAATTGGCCAGGGGTGCTTGGGCTGATCCTGACTGTGTTAGGGTATTGCTCCTAGCCCCCTGACGTGCCAGACATCACACAACAGTCCTTTCCAACTTTCTGTGGCCTTTGTATGTGACTCACTCCATCAATCTAAGACCCCGAGGCAAACTCACCAGCTCCAATGCCTGAGGAAACTGCAAGAAAAACGAAAAAGAAGAAGCAGTATGAATCAGATGTTGAGGAGGGAGACTCCCTCTCTCTCGCCTTTACTCCTGCTGGTTCCTTCTCCCCTCTAACGCTCTGGGCCTGTCTGCAGGAAACTCAAATGCTAGTTTTTGACATTGTTTCCTTTCCTGTTCTTCTGTATTTAAACTGTCAGGTTAAAAGTAAAGGCTGCATTTCCCTAAATCAAGCCCACAGAAACCATCATATCCTAAACCCCCACCTGGAAAGAGAAGAAATGGAAAGAGAGCCTGCGATTATCACACTGGAAGGCATGAACCTTAGGAGCCACCTGAGAGTCCTTGCTCTTCAGTTCATACTTAGGGATGATAGATGGGTGGACTCACAGCCACCTCCAGAAATGCAAGTCAGAGCTAGGACACTGCTCATCTCTAACAATCTGTCTGAGGAGCTAAATCCAGGCCCATAGTGGGGATTCCATGCCTGACTTGAAAGTGGGCAGACCTCTCCTGACAGAGGCCACCGTAAGTTTTTACCTCCGTTTAGACCGAGCCTCACTTACCTGTAAGTAACAGAGCCGTTGGTAGTAATAGCCGCCACATGTCGCTGCACCAGACAGAAAATGCCACTACAGATATCCGGAACCCTTAAGGGGCCTATTTGACTAGAAGAGAGGAAGTAAATAGCTTTTTTTCCCCAACCCCCAAGTCCATCTCACTAGTTTCTTTTCTCCAGAAACATCATCTGATTCCTGAATGTGATGGGTGAGCCCTGTTAGCGGGGCAGGGACAGGAGGGACAGTGCCTGGAGGATACCAGAGGGGGTGTGCCCACTTGTTCTGTGTAGAGCACAGCTGAGCACCTGGGGTTCACCTGGAGGACCTATCAGAGTGTATGGGGCAGCACGACCCTGGTGATGGCCTTCACAGTAAGGGCCATGTCCCAGGGGTCCCTTGGGCCTATCTCAGAATTTATGGCCATCTTGTTTGGCACAGACTCATTTGCATCCAGCTCAGGGGCTGACCTCATATATAAAATAGTAATTTAAACCTCTTTTCTTTTTTCCAAGACAGGGATTCTCTGTGTAGCTCTGGTTGTCCTAGAATCTTTCTGTAGACCGGGCTGGCCTTGAACTCAGAGATCCACCTGCCTTTGCCTCCTGAGTGCTGGGATTAAAGGCTTGTGCCACCGCCTCCGGCTAATTTAAACTTTTTTAATCCTTTAACATCTCTTTCAAAATGTCGGCTCCTGGGATATGTAATCCACAGAGGTTACAAACTTCTTACTGTAAATTTGATGGCTTTTGTTGTTGTTGTTGTTAAAAGAAACACAGGAGGGGAGGTATGCTCTGGGAAGAGAAGAAACCAATGAGAGGCAGAGGGAGTGGGAGTGCAAGGTGAGAACAAGGGCTCCTTCAACATCCCCCCCCCCCCCCCGCCCAGGATGATTCCATTGATTATATAATGAATCAGCCTACACGCCAAGGATACACATTACTTTTGTGGAGAAACCAAGATGAAGATGTGAGCTGAGGGGGCTTGGCAGCCGGTTTCAGGATGGAAGAGTAGCTACTAGTGCTGAGCCCCAAATATTGTTGCTGCTGTCACAGTTAACTGCCCAGGAGAGGACTGAAGGAAGTAGAGGACCCCTGTTTGATCTGTCACCATCCCATTTTACATCATTCTCAGCGGATTTCCTTTCTCTGCGGAGCTTCAAAAGGGCTCAGCGTTTCCATTTCACAGCCTTTGGCCCCATGTGTGAGACCTGTGATGAGGAGGGACGTTGTGGCAAGATCACATCACTCACCTCCATCACAACCAAGAAACAAAAAGCTGGAATAGGAGTTCTATCTTCGCTCCAGTGTGGCTGGGCCGTGCTCACCACAGTAGCCCAGGGTAGCTCAATTCTTAATGATTCTCTGGGCGTGGGCTGGTCTCTGGGTCAAATGGCCAAAGTGCAGGGCTTCTCAACAAAAAACGTGGAGGGTGGAGTAACAGGAAGTGGTAAGATTGGTTAACATCTTCTCATATATTCACACATTGTTCTCCCCTAAACAGAGCCAGTGTTTGGCAGTCATATCAGCTCAACCCCCAGACAAAAGAAGTTAAATGTTCTATTTGCTCAGCCTGCTCCCTCTGTGGGTTCTTAGGAACCTGGTCTGCTCTCACCTGCTTTGGGAGAGCAATCTGGGGTAGAATAAATGAAGCTTAGCGAGGGTTGAATGGAGTAGAGGCTGCCAAAGACGCCTGCTGACCACTGCTTTCGGCTAACTCCCTCTTTACTCCAGAGTCATCTGAAGATCATTCTTCAGGTTTTACTTTTGCTTTGTTTTGCTTATGGGTAGAGAGAGTTGATTGTGGCCTGTAAAAGTTGTTTTTTTTTTTTTTTTTATTTTCTCCTATGAAGGGATGAGATGAGAGCCATGCTTAAGCTTTATGAATACATGGCTGAGCCCAGAGCCTTTCTATCTCTGTTCTATGTATCCCTAGGCCTAGGTAAGCTTCTAGCCTCCATAGAATCTAATCTTCTGTAAGCCCGGAGCATGAAGTCTTCAGCCTCTAGCCTCTGCCTGCTAAACTAGGCCTAGAACATTTCTGAGACTTACTGCTGAACATGCGTCACCCTTTGTAGGTTTTTCTGAACTGCGGCTGGCTGGTTCAGCTCAGCTGTTCTGGCTCAAACGCTTCTCCAAGATGATTGATTTAATCTGGTTTCTCTGACTGAATTGCTTTGCTTTGAAAAACTGCCTCTGAACTACACGAACTGAACTATATGAACTGAGCTGCATTGACTGCGAGAACTGAACAGAACTGGATGGAACTGCATGAACTCAGCTGAACTCGGCTCCACTCTCTCTCCCTGCACTGCTCTTAAGTAGCCTCTCTTTCCTGTTCTCGTGACCCTCCTATCTTTGATTCTTTCTGTCAAATCTTTCCCTGATTTGTCACTTTGTCTGCCCCTCAATTACATCCTTGTTTGGGATCAGAGGTGTGTCTAAGGGTGTGTCTGCATTCCAGCCAGATCACGTAGACCTAGGTCTTTGGACGTGTATTCATGCTGCTGGATTAAAATTCCCCTACGGTTGCCCATTGCCGTCCAGTCCTCCTCATGTGCTTGCAGCAGCCCCTCCTTAACTGGCCAGCAGTGTAGACGTCTGATGAAGACGAACAAAGGCCGTGATCCAAAAAGCCATTCTAATGTTGCTCAGTAGATTCACATTGTAGAAAACATAGCTGAGAATCTGGAATCTGAAAGCTTTGATGCTTATCTATAGTGCTTTGATGCCTAAAACAGAAAAAAAAGGAGGGGGTGCCTATAGGCCTATGGGTACTCTGTAAGGTAAAGGGTATGTGTTTCCAGGCACTTTCTGTTCTTCAATTTCTTGGTGGCTTTCTGCTACTTAACTTATGACATAAAGCTTCACTTTAGTTTTCCTTCCTTGAAGTTTCACTTTTGTCTCTGACTAATCTTTTCTCCACGCCCTCAAATGAAGGAAAAAGGTGTTAGGAGCATGGACATAGGCTTGATAGGAAAGAGAGAAGAGAAAAGGGCCCAAGATGGGTGATTTCTTAGTTATTTTTTATTGCTATGATAAGACACCATGACCAAGGCGACTTATAGAAAAAAAAAAAAAAGTTTACTGAGGCATGGAGTTTCAGTGGGTAAGTCCATGACCATCACGGCAGCATGCAGGCAGACATGGTGCTTGAGAGTTTACATTCTTATCTGTAGGTGGGAGGCAGAGAGAAACACTGGAAAAGGCATGAACTTGTGAAACCTCGAAGCCCACCCCCAGTGACTCCTCCAACAAAGCCACATCTCCTAATCCTTCCTAAACAAAAATGAGGACCAATTATGCAACTATATGAGCCTATAGGGGCCATTCTCATTTAAGTGACCACAGGCAAGAAGCATCCAGAGGGATTTTATGGGTGCTCATTGAGTAGACGTTACATGGAATGTCATTGAGGTTGTTGCAAGGGTTCCTTTTGCAGTGTTGGGTAAGATTAACTTTTTCACAGAGGAGCAGCTAGGACTTGGGATGTCTCATGCAGGATCTGTGAACACATGATTATCTTCACCTTTTGTTTTCCCTCCCTCCTCTTCTCTCTCATTCTTTTCTGCCTTTTCCCTTTTTTCCCCTCTTTCTTCTTTTTCTTCAACACTGGAATGCAAAGTACAGCACAAATTATTGAGATTATACAAATCAATCAGTTGCTTTTTCTCAACACTTACTGATTCCTAGTGAGAGACCACCAGATCAGAAGTGTTCTGGGGATTACAAGAGTGCTTTGAAAATACTACATATTCACAGATAAGGCAATGGCTGATCCATTTTGGTGAAGGGTATCCACGGAAGAGCATGTGTTAGTTGGACCACAAAACATGAAGAAGAAGCACAGACTTCTTGTTCACGTGATATCTGGTCTCAAATGAGCCTGGCATCAAATCTCAACGCTATCATTTCTTTAATCCTTACAGGCCTCATTTTTCCTTATCTGTGAATGTGGGGCTAGCAATAGCAACAGTAACTCCAAGGGGCTGTGGAGTTTAACTGGAACAGTTCAGACAGATTTGGTGGTCTGGAATCATACCTGTTGATCAGCAGTAGAGGTGGAAGATGGGAGCTTGAGGCTTTCTGTCATTTTCCAGATTAAGTCGTTGTATTACTCTTTCTCTCTCTCTCTCTCTCTCTCTCTTCACTGTGACCAAAGGTTTTGTTTTGGCTCGTGAGCCAAACATAGGACGCAGTCCATTAGGACACAGTCAGTCATGGTGGAGAGGGCACGTCTGCAGACAGCACTGTGGCTGTGGGAGTGTACAGACAGGACTCTACTTACTCATGGCTTGGCAGAAGAGAGCAAAGAGAGGACCTGGAAGCAGGGTGAGGCAACAAACCTCAGGGGCTGCCCCCTTTGAGTCACTTTCCTCAGCTAGACCTCACCCCCTAAAGATTCCACAACTTCCTAAAGGAGTGGCTGGCACTGGTCAGGGGCCCAGGGCTTTCGGGTGGCATTTCACGGTGAAACCGTAACAGTTGTGACACAGCTGACCTCTGGAACTAGTTTTGGTCCTCGTGCTTCGACACTGTGACTCATCACAACACCAACTGGAAGGCCTCAGAGGGTGTGGGGTCTACTCATTTTGTTTAAGGACTTTATCCCCAGTTTTCAGCCCAGGGTTTGGCACCTACTGGGGTGGGGGGGCTCAGCTAGCACTGGTCGAGTGATCACAAAGGGCTCTGTATGGAAAACAGTGCTAGGCACTCTGCTCTGAGAGCTCCCAGGAACTCATTAAAGACTCTCAGTTGTGAAGTAACGATAAGCTAGGAGTACATGGTCTTGTGTGTGTGTGTTTGTATGTGTGTACCTCATGCATGTAGATGCCATTAGATGTGGATGGGAGGGTGGGGGTAAGGCATGTGAGATGTCCTGGAACTGAAGTTTACAGGTAGTTGCGAGCTGCTGGGTGTCTTTCCTAGGAGCTGAGTTTGGGTCCTTCGCAAGGGCCGTAAGTGCTTTCAGCTACTGTGCTGTCTTTGCTGCCTCATCAGCCTTATTTTTATTAAAAAAATAAAAAAATAAAAAATAAATTAAAAAGACTGAAAGCTGACTGAGGCAGGGCATGCTGGGAATACCAGCACG